GGGGAGGTAAAACCGGCCCAGAACCCGTTTATACGGGTTCAAATGGGCTATTTTTTGGCCGAGCCTAATGGCTCGGGAATGCCCACGTTAAAAAGGCCTTCTGCCACATGACAACCACGTGGGGAAGGGGTGACTGAATATCGTCAATCGCTCAAGTTTTGAACCGACTGTTCGGTTAAACTCTCTTCCTACGGGCGGGAGGAACCCGAAGGAGGCTACGCCGAAGGGCGGAGTCTCCTTCGGGGAGGTAAAACCGGCCCTGAACACGTTTAAGCGTGTTCAAAAGGGAATATTTTTGGGCCGAGCCCACGGGCTCGGGAAAACCCACAATAAACAACCGACCTTGTGTCACATGTTGCCCCAGTGGGGTGGGGAGACTGAATATTGTCAGTCGATCAAGTTTTGAACCGACTGTTCGGTCTTACACTCTTCCTACGGGCGGGAGGAACCCGAAGGAGGCTACGCCGAAGGGCGGAGTCTCCTTCGGGGAGGTAAAACCGGCCCTGAACCCGTTTATACGGGTTCAAATGGGCTATTTTTTGGCCGAGCCTATTGGCTTGGGAATGCCCACGTTAAAAAGGCCTTGTGCCACATGACACCCTCGTGGGGAGTGACTGAATATCGTCAGTCGTTCAACTCTGAACCGACTGTTCGGTTCACCTCTCTGTCTACGGACGGAGAGGAACCCGAAGGAGGCTATGCCGAAGGGCGGAGTCTCCTTCGGGGAGGTAAAACCGGCCCTGAACCCGTTTATACGGGTTCAAATGGGCTATTTTTTTTTCCGAGACTAATGGCTTAGGAATCGCCCACGTTAAAAGGCCTTGTGCCACATGACACCCTCGTGGGGAGTGGCGGGTGACTGAATATCGTCAGTCGTTCAATTCTTGAGCGACTGTTCGGTTCAACTCTCTGTCTACGGACGGAGAGGAACCCGAAGGAGGCTACGCAAAGGGCGGAGTCACCTTCGGGGAGGTAAAACCTGCCCTGAACCCATTTATACGGGTTCAAATGGGCTATTTTTTGGCCGAGCCTAATGGCTTGGGAAAACCCACGTTAAAAAGGCCTTGTGCCACATGACACCAACGTGGGGGGTGACTGAATATCGCCAGTCGTTCACTTTCTGAGCGAGTGTTCGGTTAAACTCTCTTCCTTAAGGGCGGGAAGAACCCGAAGGAGGCTACGCCGAATGGCGGAGTCTCCTTCGGGGAGGTAAAACCGGCCCAGAACCCGTTTATACGGGTTCAAATGGGCTATTTTTTGGCCAAGCCTAATGGCTCGGGAATGCCCACGTTAAAAAGGCCTTGTGCCACATGACACCCTCGTTGGTGGGTGACTGAATATCGTCAGTAGTTCAAGTCGAGTCAAGAGTCGAGTCAGAGGCAGTCCGAAACAGAGTCGTGTTCAGACAATTACTGCAAGACATTGGAATAATGATACTGGTCAAGACTACATTGTTCTCTCTACTAAACGTGATTGTTCATACTAACACTTTTACTTCTCTGTATATATTCCTGTTTGTAATATATCTGTGTTAGTGCATACCTGTGTTCGAGTTCTTCTTTATTGGTTCTACCTTGGACTATCACCGTGGTACAAGGAACCGGACCATAACAGCAAATAATAGGATGGCATCAGTGTGGCAAGTCAAATAGAGAAATTGCACGGTTTTTCCAGGTTAATCATCAAACAGTTAATAATATTGTCAAGAAATTTAATGAAGAAGGCTATTGTCGGGTGGAACAACGTTCAGGAAGACCAAGTATCGTATCTGAGCGAACGAAAAGGGCGCTAAAGAGGGAAGTCATCAGAAACCGTTGTCAGAGCGCCAAAGATGTCGCCAACAGCATGAAAATATCGCCATATGCAGTGAGAAAGACTCTAAAAGAGCTAGGCTATCAAAGAAGAGTTGCAAGAAAGAAGCCCTTGATTGCAGAGGTTATCAGGAACAGGCGTATGGACTGTGCGAGAGAATTCGAGAGCAAAGTTTATGAATTTTGGCAGCCTTTAATTTGGTCAGATGAAAGTATATTCTGCCAATATTCGAATTCAAGACAGGTTTATGTTTGGAGAAATCAGAACGAAACTTGGAACACTGAATGTCTGCAGGCGACCGTGAAACATAAAGGGATTGGAGTGGGTGGGGTGCTGTCTGGTTTGGAGGGAAATCTTAGTTGATTCTTGTTGATGAGTGATTTAATAGTCCAAAATACTGTCAAATATTAGAGAAAGAACTTCCCCCACTATCAAATTGACAAGAATGTCTACCTTTTTTCAAGATGGGGCGCCATATCATGCAAGTAAAGTAGCAAAGGCCTGGAATGAATCGCAAAAAATCAAGTCACTGCCATGGGTAGCCTAAAGTCTTGATATGAATCTATTAGAGCACGTTTCGGAGCACATTCACTGAAATTTTCGAGAGCGTGCAACCAAAATCATGTCAATGGCAACCTTTAAAGAAAAATTGCTAAAGGAGTGGCAAAATATGGATCAGACGATTGTTGATAACTAGATCAAATCCATGAAAAATCAAACACAAGCACTGAAAACTGGCAAATATAGCACCTGCTCTATACCAGTTCCAAATACTGTTTGCTTATGTTGAATAGGGATTACGTAATTAAATTTTGAAATTGGATGTAGTTTATTTCTCCTGACTAAATACTATTCTTAGGCTACTGTACATCAACTGCAAGAAGACAGAATGCATGGCTGTTAGCAAAAAGGATGAGCCCAAAGTAGGAATTGCAGATCGGAGACACCAAAATGAAAAAAAAGTACAATTTAAATATCTGCGAAGTGTTTTGACAGAAGACGGGAAGTATGACACTGAAATCCGAAGGCGTATTATGATAGCCAAAGATGCCTTTCAAAAGCTAACTAAAGTACTAAGAAATAGAAAAACTTCGTTAGAAACAAGGAAAGAAGTATTAAACTGTTAGTGATGTCTGTCCTCCTGTATGGCAGTGAGTGCTGAACA